GGATCCAATGTTACAACATGTAATTCTCTAGGACTGCAAAACTTTTTCTTTGGAGAATTTAAGGAGACAGTGACAATTTTTCCTGATAAAAACACAGGCTCAAAGTCAAGGGCTTTTTGCTTCTTTTCTGCCATTTAAACATATACATATAAAGATAGGAAAAAGATCATGCTTCCTTCCTTTAGCTTTTGCTCTGGCTCAAGTTCATTTGCAAGCCAATCTTTGTGATTTTTTTTCACCCTAAGTTATCTGGCACAATAGATAAGGCATATCATCAGCACAGAATATTTCTGCCTAGCTTTTGTTCAACAGCCCTCATTATGACTGAAGAGTTGTCAGCCTGCCCTTATCAGGAAGAGGCTTTCTGATCACAACATTCTAGGAAATGGAAACTAAGATGAGGAAATGACTCTCAGAAGTTGGTCACAGAAAATAATTACTAGCAGAGTCCTCGAAACCATCAAGACAAAGAATCCAGAAAGAGCAGTGTGATAACATCACCACACAACATCAGAGATGTAAGCTGCCCGTGCCACACATGTTCTCTATGAGTTCCTACCACGTCTCTTCCTAGATGTTCACTGGTAACATGGGCTTCTCTACCTGAATGCATTTCAAGTATATTCTCTGGTAATATATGTTCTGGGTATAACCCTACCCACTGATGGTGTGGTAATGGGGAATCCTTTGTCACTTTATTTGGTATGCTGTTTGTTTAAATGTCTTTGTGGGCAAAAGTTTACACACTGAAGGTGAGAGGTCATGATTTTGAAGAACTGCAGGTGTACAGAATACCTTGTACTTGAGAGGCCCAAGTGTGAGTGGGTGTAATACCAACTATAAGTATTTCTAAGAAAAGGGGAATCAAAATGGCAGAGCACAAGCCCCTCCCATCATTTCCCTCCAAACAACTTTAAAATTCACTCTTAAAATCAAATTTTGGAGCAGGAAAGCCAACAAAAATATCAGGAGACATTTTTACAGCCTAAGGCAACTTAGGAGGTCCACAAGAGAGGTTTGTAACACCAGGGTGGCTGCAGGCCCACAGCACAGCAGGAACACCATTACTGGGCCTTGTAGAGAGAGGGAACAGAAGCAGCACTTTCAGAAGCTCTTAACCCAGAGATGGTAAGGCAGTCAGACAACTCATCAGAAACAGATTATAAGAAACCCTTTGCTGCCACTGGGTGCAGCTGGCACTGATTGGCAACTCCACTGCCTCTAAGTAGTTCTGGATCACAGTTCCAGGGCAAAAAGGAGCACTTGTGATCATTCACAAGGGAGCAGGGGCCCTCATCATAGTACTAAGGCCAAGAGGAGCACTTATGGATGCAGGAGAGCAGGGCACCTGGTCACAGATCCAGGGCCAAGAGGAACACTAACGCTTGTGCCTGCAGAGGAGCAGGGACCCTTCCTGGGTAAAGAACAGGGCCCAGACCAGGACAGCTGTGATCATACCCCTCCCAGCATCACACCACCTTAAAAGTACTGAAAACTTGTAGGCTCTGCGGACTAACACTGAAAAGAGAAATATGAAAAAGCCTAAAGCTTGGCACAGTGTAACCCCTGAGGTGAACAGAGCCCAACTTTAACATAAAGTTCAAAGTCAAGAAATAGGCTGGTAAAATAAGCAAACAACAAAAAAAAAATTTGATCATGAAAAGCTACTACAGTGACAGGGAAGACCAAGACATAAACTTAGAAGAAGACAACAATGTGAAAACAGCTACAAAGAATCAAAGAAAAATGCTAATTGGACTGAAAGCCAGTAAGAATTCCTGAAAGAATTCAAGAAAGTGGTAAGAGTAGTAGAGGAAAAATTGGGAAAATAAATTAGAGTGATAAAAGAAAAATATGAAAAGAGAATTAATAAGCTTGATAAAAGAAATACCAAAAGCTGAAGAAAACAACAACTTAAAAAGCAGAATTGACTTAATGGTAAAAAAGGCACCAAAAATTACTGAAGTTCTCCTTTAAAAAGCAAAAGAAGCCAAAAGGCAAAGAAGGTAGAAAAATCTACTGAAGGAAAGAACTCCTTATAAAGCAGAATTGGACAAATGGAAAAGAGGTACAAAAGCTTACTAAAGAAAATAATTCCTTTAAAATTAGAACTGGGCAAATGAAAGCTGATGACTGTGTTAGCCCCCTAAAAATAATAAAACACGGACAGCTGTGTGGTACAGTGGATACAGCACCAGCCGTGGAGTCAGGAGGACCTGAGTTCAAATCTGGCCTCAGACATTTGATACTTAGTAGCTGTGTGACCCTAAGCAAGTCACTTTACCCCAACCACCTCACCAAAAAAACAAAAAACAAAACAGAACAAAAGGAATAATAAAGCAAAGTCAAAAGAATGAAAAATAGAAGAAAATGTCAAATATCTCATCAGAAAAACATCTGACCTGGAAAACAAATTGAGAAGAAATAATTTTAAAATTATTGGACTACCTGAGAGCCATTATAAAAAAAGAGCCTAGACATCATATTTCATAAAATTATCAAGGAAAAATGCCCCAACATCTTAAATCCAGAAAGTAAAATATAAATGGAAAGAATCTACCAACCACTACCTTAAAGAGATCTCAAAATGAAAACCCCCAGGAATATCATACCCAAATTCCAGAGCTCCCAGGTAAAGGAGAAAATATTGCAAGCAACCAGAAACAATTCAAATATCATGAAGCCCCAGTCAGAATCACACAAGATTTAGTGGCACTCACATTAAAAGATCAGAGGGCTTGGAATATGATATTCCAGAAGGATAAGATTACAACCAAGAATAGTCTATCCAGCAAAAATGAGTATAATTCTTCAGGGGAAAAAACAGACACTTACTGAAAGAGAGGACTTTCAAGCATTCCTGATGAAAAGATCAGAGCTGAATAGAAAATCTGACATTCTAACACAAGACTCATAAGAAGCATAAAAAGGTAAGCATGGATGAGTAATCATAAAGAGACTCAATAAAGTTAAAACTTTTACATTTCTACATGGAAAAATGATACACATCACTCCTAAAAGTGATATCAGTAGGGCAATCAGAAGAAACACATATAGACAAAAAGCACTGTTGTGAATCAATGATGTTGGGATGATCTCAAAAAAAAAAAGTGAAGGGGTAAGAAAGAGGGACACAGTGGGAGAAGGGAGAAGAGGAAGAATGAGGAAAATTTTCTTACATAAAGAAGTGTTCAAGGACAAGCTTTTATAATGGAAGGGAAAATGGCAGGTGGCGCTTGATCCTCACTCTCACTGGAACCAGTTCAAAGACAGAAGAACATACATACATACATACTTAGTTGTATATCGAAACCTATCTTACCCAATAAAGGAAAAAGGGAAGGAAATAAGAATTGTGAGGGATGATGATAAAAGGGAGGGCAGATTAAGCAAGGCAGAGGTCGGAAGCAAAACAGACTTTTGAAGAGGGACAGGGTAAAAAGAGAGATGGATAAACAGAACAAAGTAGGATGGAGGGAAATACAGTTAGTGATTATAAGTGTGATTGTAAATGGAATGAGCTCATCCATAAAATTGAAGCAGCTAACAGAATGGATTAGAAATCACAATCCAACAATATGTTATTTACAAGAGACACACTTGGAACAGAGACACACAGTTCAGATAAACAGAATCTAATATTCTCCAGCCAAAATAAAAAAAGGCAGGTGTAGCAATCATGATCTCAGACAATGCAAAAACAAAAACAGACCCAATTAAAAGAGATAATCAGAGAAACTACATTTTGCTAAAAGCTAGACAATTGAGTAATAGCAAAAATTTTACATTGAGTTTCTCTGATAAAGGCCTTCTGTTCCTCAGTCATTTCAGTTGTAACTGACTCTTTGTGACCCCATCTGGAGTAGTTTGTCATTTCCTTCTCCAGTCATTTTACAGAGAAGCAAACAGGGTTAAGTGACTTGCCCAGGGTCACACAATTAGTAAGCATCTGAGATGAGATTTTCAACTCACAAAGATGTGTCTTCCTGACTTCAGGCCCAGCACTCTACATACTGTGCCACCTAGCTAAAAGCCTCATTTCTCAAATACATGGGAAACCAAGTCAAATTTATAAAAATAAGAGCCATTCCCTAATTGACAAATGGTCAAAGGACATAAACAGGCATTTTTCAGAAGAAATAAAAGTTATCTATAGTCATATGAAAAAAAGTGCTCTAAATCATTGATTGGAGAAAGGCAAATTAAAACAACTCTGGGATACCACCTCACACCTATCAGACATGACAAATGCTGGAAGGAATGAGGGATAATAGGGGCATTAATGAATTGTCGGTGGAGTGGTGAATAATCCAACCATTGTGGAGAACAATCTGAAACCATGCCTAAAAGGCTACAAAACTTTACATATCTTTGGGGCCATTACTATCACCACTATGTCTATAACCCAAAGAGATCAAAGAAACCACCTCCAGAGAGAAAACTGATGAACTAACTCTAAGGGCAAAATGAAGTATAATTTTATTGCTTTTTTGTGTGTGTTTGTGATATGGCTAATATGGAAATGTTTTTCATGATTCATATGTATAACTGATATCCTATTACTTCTCTTCTCAGAGAGGGGAGGAGGGATGGGAGGGAGGCGGCAGAGTATCTGGAACTCAAAATTTAAAAAGAAAAGAATGTTAAAAAAAAACAAATAACAAACTAAAAACAAAACAAAACAAAACAAACAAAAACCCTAGTATTCCCAACTATTACTCCCTAGTACTATATATTTTTTTGTTTCCATGAGATTTGCAGCAGCACCATTAAAATCATGATACATTTTTTTCAGAAGAAATTCCTCAGGGGAAAAAAAACATTAAACAAAAATGAGAGAAAAAGTTTCTTGTTTATGATTTTTCCCATTTTTCTCTTCCCCTATCACTAGGCAGAAGCAGGCAAGTCAGAAATATTTCATAGTTGCAAACTGTACTCAGTAATCCCAAACCCCTCTCTTAGACTAATTCATTCACTAAAGAAATACGAAAGAAGCATACCTTATATTCTGCATGTGGCGGGTTCAGCTCGTCCCAATGTGAAGGAAAATCGAAGGAAACTCTCCTGCTCTGCTCTCGGTGTTGGCTGAATATAAGAAAAAAGTAAGAATTGATTAGTTCCTGTAGTTTCTACCTTAAATCCTGAAATTTTACCTCTCTACGATTTCCTGAGAGAACAGTGACTTTCCTATTCTTTTCTAGTGAACTCTTCTGAAATAAATGTGTTTGTGTGCATGATATACATACATTATGTGTATGTATGCTATGAAATGAGGTACCATATATGTGTGTATATACTATCTATCTATGTACATTATTAAATCTGTGTCTAGAAATAGAAATGCATATATGTTATAAAATAAGGTACCGTATATAACATATACATATACACATACATAATACATATATACACATGCATGTGGGTGCCTCATTTCATAACTTTTTCTAGGGTTCTGGGGTAGAAGTAGTTTCTCACTGTATTTCTTGATCATTATTCAGTCTAGTGTGAACTTTGGGGTTTTCGTGGAGTAGGTATGGAGACGATCTGCCTCCCATCCAGGTAGCCATCTTTGCTAGAAGTCCCTTTCTCCACTTACATATACATATACAAAGAATACATACACACATATACAGTATCTCATTTCATAACATATATACATATATATATATAAACACACGCATATGTTCTACACACACACACACACACACACACACACACACACACAGTACCACCTGTCACCACTGCCAGATTCTCTCATTTCATTCATTTAATAAACAATTCCGTGGTGCCAACAACCTGTAAGGTATGGTATCAGGTATGATGGAGACAAAAAAGAATAATGTCACAGACCACAAATAACTGTTAAATATGGCAAGACTACAATAAATGTCACAGGAGAGGAATAAGAAGGCACATGGCAGGAATGAATGAATGAAAAATCATTTACTATGTAGTTACTATTTGCCAGTATTGTGCTAAGTGCTGGGGATATAAATTTAAAAGTGAGGTAGTCCACACTCTCAACAAGCTGACATACTAATAAGGGTAGACAAGGTTGATGACAGCATTTTCATCACTCATTTCATCACCACAGCTGACAGCCTTTTAGAATACTACATTCAAAGATCTCCTCTCTCTCATGGGACATGCTGCCAGCTCTTGTGTGATCTGAACTGTAGTTCCTTAATACTTGAACTGCTTCTTCTGGAAGTTTGCAGTATCGTTTCTTTGATGTAGGAGCTCTGGATTTTAGTTAAGACATTTCTAGGACTTCTTCCTTTGGTGTTCCTTTTAGGAAGGTACTGGTGGATTCTATCTTTACTTTGGCCTCTGGTTCTAACAGGTATGTGCAGTTTTCATTTGTAACTTCTGAATATAGTGTCCAGGTTTTAAAAAAGAGCCATTTCAGAGAATCCTATGTATTATTCATGGTCAGTGGGCCCTCTTTCCTATTTCTTGACTTTTTCTAGGGATCTGGGGTAGAAGTAGTTTCTCACTGTATTTCTTGATCATTATTCAGTCTAGTGTGAACTTTGGGGTTTCCCTGGAGTAGGTATGGAGACGGTCTGCCTCCCATCGAGGTAGCCATCTTCGCTTAGAAGTCCCTTTCTCCACTTACATCTGTGTATCATCCGCCATGGCTCTCTCTCTGTCTCTCTGTTCTCATCAACTCCCATGGGGGTTTAACTATCATTCCCATGCAGACGATTCTCAAATCTACACATCCAGCTCCAATCTCTCTCCTGAATTCTTGTCCTAAAACATAACCTTGGTCAAGTTCTCTAGGCTTCAGTTTGTTTTATTTGCAAAATGAGAGATTTGTAACAGATAGCCTCTAAGGTTTCTTTTGGCACTAAATCTATGATCCTATTACCAACAACTACCTATAGGACATTTCTTACTAGTGTCACAAGGGAATCTCACACTCCACATATCTAAAACAGAACTCATCTCGCCCTTCAGATTTGTCCTTCTTTCTAATTTCCCTATTTTTGTTTTTAGTTGCCCAAGTTTACAACCTCAGAGTAATCCTCACTTACCTCCCACGTCCAGCCAATTGCCAAGAATCAAATATTTTCCCTCCACAATATCTCTTGAATCTGTCTCATTTTTGGCACTGACACCACCACAACTATCTGAGTTCAAACTCTCAACCCCTCTTGCCAAGCCTACTGCAGTGGTCTCTCAATTGGTTTCCTTGATTTTAGTCTCTCCCCTCTCCAATTCAGCCTCCACATGACTACATTAGGAATATTGATATTCCTAAAGCAAAGATATGACTACATCGCTCCCCTTTCAAGAAGATCCAGTGGTTTCCTCAAACATGTAGGTTAAAATACAAAACCCTTCATAACCTGTCTCCATACCACCTTCCCAGGCTTGTTACTCATCACTCTCCATTCCGATTCCACTAAGCTATTTGCTGTTTTTTGTATAGGGCACTTGAACTCTCATTTCTGTGTCTTTGTACAGGCTATCCTCTACACCTGAAATGCACTCCCCTCCTTACCTACAGTTCAGACAAACTCTAGATTCTTCAAGGCTCTGCTCAAATACTACCTCCCATTAGGAAGTCTTACCTAATTCTTTCAGTTGCTAGTGCCCTCACCCTGGAAATTACCCTGTATCTATTTTGCAGAGATTTTTAACTGAATTTTCTATACACATACTGTTTCCCCCAATAGAACATAAGTTCCTTGAAGGTAGGGACTAATTTGTTTTAGTTCTGTCATGCCAAGACCTTGAATAGAGCTCGTCACAAAGTAGGCAAATGGAATAAATGCTTCAAGACAACATGAAAGTAAATTTCCACCTTGCCTGGATTAGTTATCATGAATTCGACTGAGTTTTCATTGTACATCTCATGAGTTAATTGATGATGTAACCTATAGAAGTGCTCAATCAGATACTTACGTTTTTTGTTTTTGAGTCCAATACACAGTCACAGAGGACACATATTTAGGCCGCCTTCGGACCTCCCTTTTAGTATGAGAGACTACGTTTGTCTGGATCATTTCTTTAGAAAGAAAAAAAAAGTCAGTCCAAAGTTAAAATGGTTATTTCTATCAGAGCCATAGATAGTAGCTGCTATGTAGAATGCCCCAATGAGGGAAGGATGGGGCTACCACATTTGCCTCTGCACAAAAAACTAATTCTCATGGCTGATGCTAAGTTGATCAAAGATTGTATTCATCTGGGCTCCACTTCTCTTCTTGTCCCTCTTTTTCTCACTCACTCTCCGACCTCTCCTTTGAGTCACAGGTGAATTTAGTCTTTGCATTTTTTGACAAATCTGCCTCATCCTAGTGTACCCACTAAAACAGCAGGATGCTGACTGACCTGAAACTCAATCTGGCCTTCTCAATATTATCACTTCTGCTGACTCATAACTGCCTTCCTTTTGAATTAACCCTTAACTAAACAGATGCTAATTTGCAAACTCTAGTCTATCCTGCCCTCTTGTCCCACAAATAAATATATATGCTCCACCAATAAATAATAATGAGTGGCCTTTTAATGTACTTAAATAGCTAATGATGTGCCATTAATACAATATGAAGGAAGGAGAAATCTTTGAATAGGTAATTATAACAGATGAAAATTTGTATTCACTGACAGTATCTGTCTTTTTGAGAACCCTGCAAAGAATCAGAGGAGTTTTAACTTTTGGTCTAGATTAGAGCAAGCGTACTTCAACTTTCTTGTGGATGAAAAAAAAACCTTTGGCAATCTGATAAAGCCAATGGACTCTTCCTCAGAATAATGCTCTTAAATAAATTAATTGATTAATCCAATTACTTGAAAATAAAAATGTTTTTTAAAGAGAAGTTCAAGGGGCAGCTAGGTGGTGCACTGGATAGAGCATGTGTCCTGGAGTCAGGAGGACCTGAGTTCAAATCTGGTCTCAGACCAGACACTTGATACTTAGTAGCTGGGTGACCCTGGGCAAGTCACTTAACCCCAATTGTCTTGCAAAAAAAAAAAGTTCAAGCAGTCTAAGTTAAGAAACTCTGGTCTTGTTCATGAGAGATAACCCAATGGGATTAATTCCACAGGCTGCTCATCTAGCTACATGTAATAGTCTGGGCAACAAGACTTCTTCATTGGTCTAGTTTTTCCCATATTGCCTGTTAGGCCAATCTCTCTTTAGAAATCTTGGATTTCATTAAGGATTTCCTGTGGGAATCTTGGGCATGGTACAATCAGGACAATATAATCCACAAACAGGTACATCTAGGGGACCTCCCCAACTATAAGAAAACTTTCTTCCATTTGGACTCCCACAATAGAGAATGGTGTCCCTGGGACATTATCTACATCATCCTGTTCCATGTTTCAATTGATAGGAAGCCTGCAGATTGATGAAAGTTATCTCTGTGGTTGTGTTTAAGAATCTTCTATGATTTTAACATGGATGGAGGGAATAAGCATTTATTAAACACCTACCAATTACCAAGCACTGGGCTAAGCATTTCACAAATATCTTATTTGATCCTCACAACAACCCTGTGAGGTAGGTGCTATTATTATCCCTATTTCACAGTTGAGAAAACTGATGCAAACAGAGATTAAACGACTTGCCCTGGATCACATAGCTAGTAAGTATGTGAGGCAGGATTTGAACTCAGGTCTTCCTGACTCATTAAAGTCTTCCTGTTAGAGCCTTTAAGACTAAATTTCACTCTACCTGGTCAATGTGTTTTGCTTTTTTTAAAGTAATCAACAAAAAGTAAACATAGCAAGATCTTGTACTCTCTCTTTCAGTCACCTGTGTGAGTATGAAAAGATATGTTGTAAAAAACTGTGAAAGCCTGCTTCCCCTTTTTTAATCAACCATACTTTCAATTCAATTTGGGTCAATCTCAAAGATTTCAAAGATTCGTTTGAGTTTTCCCATGTTCATCAGAATTCCTTGTTTTCATCATTTCTTACTACCAAATAATATTTCATTACTCTCACATGCCACATGACAAATGAGAAATTCAGAAAACTCTGGAAAGCTTTGAATGAATTGATGCAGAACGTAGTAAACAGAACCAAATGAACATTAAATGCACTGAAGCCAAGAACATGAAAAGACCCCCTAAAAGAAGCCATACCGTTAAAGTTCACTTTGTATGTATGAGGACCTTCTGAAAATTCCACAAACTCCTCTTGCCAGAGCAGAAAGAAGAACTCCAGGTCTCCAGAAGTAAATTCTGAACCCTCCTGTTTGACATCATATGAGGGGAAAAAACAGTAATGAGTGGGACTTACAAAGACTTTCAAAGAAACCATCACTATAATGCCTGATGTCATTTGATGTGTCTACGATTCCTTTCAAGATTGGGCATGGTACTCAAGTTTTCCTCTGGAAATCCTTCCCTGTTATATCTTTGCACCTTTAACAGAGAGAACGGAGGCAGTAGTTTCAGGTGGCAAAATTGTCAAACAAGTTCAGGTGTCAAACAGTTCAGCAGATGACATCATCGTTCAACTCTCCAAATAAAGAAATATACATCTGGATGCTTGAGGAGTCCAAGAGACTATCATGGACTCATGTCAACAAAACCATGGGGCACAGACCAGTGGTGAGAGTACAAGACTTAGAGTCAGGAAAACCTGAGTTCAGATCCTGCCTCAGACACCCTTAATGGCTGCATGGTCCTGAGTAACTAGCTTAACCTACTTCAGCCTCAGTCAACAAGTATATATTAAGCAATTAAGATGAGTGCTGGGGAGAAAAGGCAAAAACAAAGTCCCTGTGCTCAAGAAACTCACATTCTATTGGAGAAAAAACGTTAACAGCAAGGTGCATGCAAAATACATAGTGTAAAAAGGAGGAAATCTCAAAGGGAAGGCACTAAAGGGGGGGGAGGGAAGACCAGAGCCTCAGTTTCCTCTTCTGTATAATGGGGATAATAATGGCATCTACCTCCCAGAGAGGTCGTGAGGATCAGATCAGATAACAAGATAGGTCAAGTGCTCTATCAAGGCTAGCTCTTATTAAAGAGGAATTGTGTTCCAAGCCACACACACACAAAAGCAGAGGGGCCCCAGGCACCCCAGAACACCACAACCATGCTGCGACCATGGGTCCCTGCCTGGTTCTGTCCTCTCACATTCTTAGTCCAAAGCTCTGGCCAGCCACTGTGCTAAGTGCACTCAGTAACTGACCGATGCGTGAATTAATGCTAAAACCCTCAGGGATGTCTTTTTCAATTCATAACAAAATATTAACACTTTTATATTCGGACCTTTCACATAGAGCTCTATGGGGGCACCTCACTGGAGGGGTTGGTGGAGGACAACCCACCTGGCTACAAAAGCCCACTGCATGTAGTGGCTCTAGAGTGATCATGGCCCCTTTTCCCTACTTCACTCTGGTAAGAAAGTAAAACTTGGAATCAGACTGCCAGAGCTAGAAGGAATGTTGGGGATCGTTTAGTTGAATCCAGGCAGCTAGGTGGGAAAGAGGATTGAACACTGGACTTATGAGTCAGGAAGACCTGAGTTCAAATCCTGCCTCATACACTTGCCAGCTGTGTGATCACAGGCAAGTAACTTAACCTGTGTTTGCCTGAGTTTCCTCAACTGTAAAATGGGGATAATAATAGTACCTTCCTCTCAGAGTTGCAGTGAGGATCTAATGAGATAATATTTCTAAAATGTTTACCACACTGCCTGGCACATAGTAGGCAATTAAATGCTTGTTTCCTCTCCTATGTATCATCTTACTGCTTTTATTGATTCTATATGGCAAGAGTAAAAATGCTGTCTCTAAGTATGTTTATTTGTTTCTCTGGGGAGGTGATTCCATTATGTCATGGTCACATGATCAGGATTCAGTAAAACTGAGGAAGTAGGAGTAGGATTCCGCAGGAGGGCTCTGAGCTGATTATGATTAGGTGAATCCACACCCTATATAATAAGTTGGAAGAGGCACCCAAAGGGAGGTGGAGCCATATTGGTGCAGAGCTCAGACCAGGGGAACAGTAATCAGACTTTGCCCTGAATCGGACCCCTTTTGGAGAGCGCTGAAAATCTGCAGGTCCTCGGCCTGAGATGTCCCTGAATCTAAAGAAAAAACCAGCTTAGATTTTCCTGCCAGAAATGCACAGATCCTGGTCTGAACATAAAGTGCAAACTCAAAAAAAGGAATTAGTAAAATTTAAAAATAAAATATTTAATACGTTTTTTAAAAAAAAAAAACCTTTGAGTTTTGAACAAGAGCATTATCAGGAAGGAAATGGACGCTCACCTTTTTTCCATATTCAATCCATTGGCCCAATTCATTCTTCCAATACCAGTGCCACTGAGTGGCCAGAATATGAACGGGGTTTTGGACAGATGATGGAGTAGAGAGACGTCGGACAGGATAACAATCAAGTAGCATCTTCTGAAAGTCGATACTATGACTTCTGAAAGTAAATGTTCAGGGAGAAAAAAAGGTTTAAAGTTAACCAAGTGCTACACTGAGCTACGTTATCTAAATTCCTCTCAACCACACCCCCATCTCTCAGTCTCTCTCTCCCTTTCCTTCCCCCCCAACTCTTCATATCTCTCTTTTGAAGCCTACAAAATCAATCCAACAATTTTGATAAGAGATTCAGTGAATTTTAAGCCACTTACACCAACAACCTCAATTTGCAGATGAGAAAAATGGCAGCATCTGGGGAAGTGAGATAATTTGCTTGAGGCTACATTTTAGTTATTAACATCATCTCTTTCAGCACTATCTAAAGCAAAACAAAATTCTGATCAGAGGATGTTGTGTAGGAAGGGACCTTAGAGGATATTTAGCAAGGGGTAGGTCGGAGCCAGGTTAAATTGGCTTTTTGAGAGCCAAAAGTTAAATTTTTCAATGTGGGCATTTATATCTTGGAAATCAGCAAACACTACAAATCAGTTTGATTTATTGTTTCATTGACTGTCTAGCCTTAAGAAACTAATTAACTAAATTAATATAAAACTGAAATAACTAATTAACTAAAAGTTAATAATGCAAATAAAATTTAAAAGTGTGTCGTCTGTGCATTCCTGTCTCCCCATAGATTGAGTTGTTAAACATTTTCCAGTACACCTCTGCATTTACCCCCAATTCCCTTTCTTTATAGTTCAGGAAGCTGTATAGCAGACAGGTTAAGTCCAAGGTAACAAAGGGAGGAAGTAGTAAAGCTAGGATCTAATCTCAGGTCCAAATCCTGGGCTCTTTCTATTACAACAGACTGACTTTATAAAGATCCTTCTCAGATATGGGGAAAAGAACAGAAATTAAAAAAAGATAAAAGAATCTAAAGTCTGCCCCTTCGCATTCTGTTTCTTAAGAAGTACATGAATGCTTTAATGTTGTCATACAATTATGCCAAAGTGAATATTTTTAAATTGTTCCATATTTTTCACAGTTTCATGATCAGCAAGGAACCATAATAATTGTGTGTATATATGTTCATGAGGGTGTATGCTTAGAGAAAAAAAGTAGGTTTTCAGATATTAATTTTGGAAACCATTAAAACTGAACAAAAAAAATTTGCTAGAATCTGAAAAAACGAAATCATTTAATTATGGATTTGAGTCTTTCCATCTGCCACAGAACAGCAGAAAGAATATTGTCTCTGAAGTCCAGGACCTTAGTTCAAGGTTCACATCTGATATTTACTATCCATGTAACCTCGAGCAGGTCACTTCAACATCGTGGGCCTCAGTTTCTTCTTCTGCAAAAGGTGGGAGTTAGACTGGATCTAAATCTAAGGTCTTGAACTCTTCCACTCAATCAGCTGAAATTTGCCCATTTCATATGTTCAGCTTGAATGAAGGTTAAGCACAAAGTGTGTTTTGCAGACCCAATTGATTCCTTTTAACAGAATGTAGACACCAACTTACTTGGAGATGCTTGGGTCACAATAAGCTCTCTCAATTTCCTCCATGTCCTTAAAGTCTTTCCAGCTGTCAGAAATGCACACCTGCCATCGGTAGGGTAAATGAAAATGGATAGACTTGCAGCAGCCTGGAAAAAGAGCACAGAATTCCCAGGGCCAAGGTAAGAACTATTTTGTCCTATTCAAGCTCATCTATTAATATCCCCTCCAATCAAGGCCTCTTCACTCCTACCTTCCCAGTCTCCTTATTATACTCTTTACAGTTATGATGCATCTCCTACCTAAAATGCCCTTCACCACCTCTCTGCCAACCCATCTCCACTATAGCATGGACACCCTCCAATTCACCACAATGCAATCTTGGAAAGCAGAACAATTTCTTAAAACTTGTTTTCAGTACATTTTGGTTAAGGATAAGCCTGCAACTACCATATTTCACCACTAGAAGACATACAAAATGTTGATTCCAGCTATGTTCACTTATTAGAATATGAGATTGCAAATTTGGAACTGGAGCAAACCTTAGTGTTCATCTAGTTCAACCCTCTCATTTTACTGATGAAAAAACTGAGCCCATGAAAGATTATGTGACTTTCCCCAAGGTCACACAAGTATGAAGAATCAGAGTAAGGTAGAATACAAAGCAATTTTTGTTAACAATAAAGAATATAATACAATTTTCAGGAAATAAGGAAAACTGCTTTTTGGTTTCATTTATGGAAAGAATATCAACAATGATCTGAAGAATATCAACAATGATCTGGTTAAATTCATCCAATAGTACGTCAATTAGCTGCACAAACACCTCACATTTAGAACACCAACAATTAAATTAATGTTGATAGATAGCCTAAGAACTGTGTGATTCTTAGTACCTTCTTTGTCTTTCCCTTTGAAAAACAAACAAACAAAAATTTTAATGAAAACAAGCTTAGTCAGGGGCAGTCAGATGGCACAGTGGATAGAGCACCGGCCCTGGTTCAGGAGGACCTGAATTCAAATCCAGCCTCAGACACTTGGCACTTACTAGCTGTGTGACCCTGGGCAAGTCACTTAACCCCACTGCCCAGCCAAAAAAAAAAAAAAAGAAAAGAAAAGAAAAGAAGCTTAATTAGAACAAGGAATAAATTAAGATTCAAGTAACAATTTTAGTCAAATATCCTGATGTTTTAAAATATAATTTTGTGGCAAACTCAAAGGAACTCTCACTTTACATAATACTAAGAGGCAGTGACAAGTAGTTGGCTCAGGTCAGGAAGACATGGGCTCAGATCTCAACTTTCATACTTATTAATTGAGTGATACTACTCAACTCTCTTAAGCTCTACGTATTTTAGACAACTCTGAAGGACTTATTAAGTGACAGGGTGCTGATTTGCCTTGACAGAAGATGCCTTCATAAGGGGAGTCCTCTACCCTTAAAAAAAAAAACATTCATTTATATTTATCCTTCTTTTTTTTATTATGAGTTCCAAATTGTCTTCTTCCCTCCTATCCCTCCCCCAACCACTAAGAAGGCAAGCAATACAACACTTATACACGTGAAGCCATGCAAAACATATTTCCATATTAGCCACACTGCAAAAAAAAATAAAAAGCAGAAAACAAAGAAAGGAAAAAAGATGTTTTCATCTGTATTTTTCACCATGGATCCTTTGGAATTGTCATAGTTCATCATCTTATAATATTGTCATCACTGTGCACAATGTTCTCCTGGTTCTGCTCACTTAACTTTGGATCAGTTCATCTAAGTCCAGGTTTTTCTGAAATCATCCTGCTCATCATTTGTTATAGCACAATAGTATTTCATTACAATCATATACCACAACTTGTTCAGCCATTCCCCAAGGGGACTGCCCCTTCATTTCCAATTCTTTGCCACTACAAAAAGAGCTGCTATAAATATTTTTGTACATATATATTCTTTTCCTTTTTTAAAAAATCTCTTTGGGATACAGATCTGGTAGAGAACAACTTTTTGATGAGGTACAATGTTTGAGAAGCTGACAAAAAAGTATATTCCTTTCTATTCCCATTCAATTTGTTCTAAAGATTTATCATATTTAACTTTTCTGAAATTCTATTCCTCTCCTTAATTTCTTTCTTACTTTATCTTATTTATTTTAGATTTATCTAGCTCTGAGACGTGAAAGTTGGGGTCTCCCACTTGTATAGTTTTACTACTTTCTCCTCTGACTCATTTAACTTTTTCTTTAAGAATTTGGATGCTTTGTTATTTGGTGTATATGCTTAGTACTGATAATACTTGACTGTCTACAATACTTTTAGTAAGATGTAGTTTCCCTGATTATCTCTTTTAATTAGTTATATTTTTGCTTTTGCTTCCTCTGAGATCATGATTATTACCCTGCCTTTTTCACTTCAGTTAGAGCAAAACAGATTTTGCTTCATGCCCTTTCTTTTACCCTATGGGTGTGTCTCTGTTTCAACTGTGTTTCTTGGTTTCTAATCCATTCTGCTATCTGCTTCCATTTTATGGGAAAATTCATTTCATTCAAGTTTATAGTTACAATTACTAACTGTGCATTCCCCTCCATCCATTTTCTTCTGTTTATTCTTCTCTCTTTTTACCCCGCCCTTCCTCAAAAGCCTGTTTTACTTTTCACTACTGCCTCCCTTAATCTGACCTCCATTTTATCCCACCACCCCCATGCTCTTATTCCCTTCCCCTCCTACTTTCCTGTTGGGTGTGACAGATTTCTAAACACAACTCAGTGTGTATTCTTCCCTCTTCGAACCAATTCAGATGAGAATGTGGTTCAAAGTTGCCTGCTTCTTCCACCATATTCCCCTCCTCTGTAAAAGCTTATCCTAGCTTGCCTCTTCAATGTGAGATAATTTCTCCCATTCCTCTTATCTCTTCCCACTTTTCCCAGTGCATCCCTTTCTCACAAATGCATTTTTTATTAATTATCCCAACATAATTAACTCATTCTTGTGCCCTCCATCTACGCAGAGTCCTTATAACTGTCATACAGTTCTTAGGAGTTACCTGTATCAACAACAGTTAACCTTATTGAGTCTCTTATGATTTATTTTTCATATTTGCCTTTTAACTCTTCTCTAGTCTTGTATTTGAAAGTCAAATTTCCTATTCATCTCTGATCTTTTCGTCTGGAATGCTTGAAAATCCTCTACCTCATTAAATACCCATTGTTTTCCCCTAAAGGACTATAGTCAGTTTTGCTGGATTCGTTATTATTTTTTTTTGAGGCAATTGGGGTTAAGTGACTTGTCCAGGGTCATACAGCTAGTAAGTGTCAAGTGTTTGGTCTGAGGCTGGATTTGAACTCAGGTCCTCCTGACTCCAGGGCTAGTGCTCTATCCACTGCGCCACCTAGCTGCCCCTGGATACATTATTCTTGATTGTAATCCTATCTCCTTTGCCTTCTGGAATATCATACTCCAAGCCCTCTGCTCCTTTAATGTGGAAGCCACTAAATCTGTTGTGATCCTGTCTGTGGGTCCATGATATTTGAATTGTTTCTTTCCAGCTGCTTGCAATATTTTCTGCTTGATCTGTGAGCTCTGGAATTTGACTACAATATTTCTGGGAGTTTTCATTTTGGGATCTCTTTCAGGAAGTGATTGGCAAATTCTTTTCATTTCTATTTTACCTTCTGGAACAAAGATACCAGGGAAGTTTCTCTTTGATAATTTCTTGAAATATGATGTCTAGGCTCTTTGATCATGGGTTTCAGGCAGTCCAGTAATTCTTAAATTGCCTCTCCTCTATTTTCCAAGTGAGTTGCTTTTCTGATGAGATATTCCCCATTTTCTTCTGTTTTTCAATACTTTGTTGTATTGTTTCTTGATGTTTCATGAAGTTATTAGCCTTTGGCCAATTCTGCTTTTTCTTTTCTTCAGTGTTTTTGTGCCTCTTTTACCAAGCTGTTAACTGTCTATTCATAATTTTTTCTTGTATCACACTCATTTCTTTTCCCATTTTTCTTTTACCACTCTTATTTGATTTTCAAAATAATGTTTTAGCTCTTCCAGGAATTTTTGTTGAGCTTGTGTCCAATTCAATTTTTTTTTCCTTTGAGGTTTTGTTTGCAGCTGTTTTGACATTGTTTATCTTCTGAGTTCGTGTCTTGCTCTTCCCTGTCACCACATTAGCTTTTGATGGTAGTATTCTTTTTTGTTGTTTGCTCATTTTCCTCGCCTATTTCTTGACCTTGAACTTCATGTCAAAGTTAGGCTGGGGGGTTGGGGCTCTAGGGCACACAGTCCCAAACTTCAGACATTTTCACATTTTTGTTTTCAGAGCTAGTTCTGGGGATTCGAAGTTTTTGGTACTTCTAAGGTGGTTATGATCCAGTGAGAGTTCTGGTCACTGCTCCTTTGCAATTGCAGGTGACACTGCTTCTCAAGGCCCCTGATTCCTTGGGACAGCAAGCACTACTCTCCCCCCTGGACCTATCCTATGGAGTAGCCACACTGCATCCTTCCCACAACCACTGCTAGCACATGGGTCCCCTGACCAGTTGCCTCATCTCATTATTGGTTCTGGTTTGAGACCTTCAGAAGTTGCTGTTGCTGCTACTGCTGCCATCTCCAAGGCCCGCCATTGATGTTGCTGCCACATGAGTTCTAGGTCAACCCCCTTTTGCCCTCCTGCATTGTCTTTGGTTGGAAATGTGACTCACTCCAATCTTTTGATGGCTCTGCTGCTTTAACATTGAATTTGAGGCATTATTTTAAAGTTGTTGGGAGGGAATGTTGGGAGAGCTCAGCGGCTTCCTCTACTCAACCATCTTGAAGTCTTCTTTATGGCTTTTAAAAAACACAATTGCTCCTGGAATTATACAGGAACTGGCAAGCCTGAGACAAAGTCAGAGCTATTAAATATAGATACCTGATAGAAAACGGAGGAGGCAAGGGGGTGAGGAATAGCAATGACTTTGTTGCCAAAGAAATAGAGGCCAAAACATCCTAACTGAGAGGAAAATTCCAAAGTGCTGTACTACACTAGACCTTGATGGTTTTCTCTTCATCCTTCCTATTTTGACTAAAAGGAAGGGAAATTCAAAAGGAAGGGAAGGAAGTTACAAAAAGTGAGAGAGTTCTGTCAGGAACTAAATTAGCAATTTCAGGTAAACTTTCTAGTAGCAAAACAAGTCAACTTGCAGATTTCTGGGCTTTGAAGATGTGAGTTGAAAGCAGGCTACATTAAATTGACTACACCCCGAGTGGGTACCCTTCCACAAGATTCCCCAAAATGTGGGGAACCGAGAGGTTGTATATTCCATGATTAACCCTCACATGGCCTTGGGCTCCCCAGACCTTTCTGAACAAAGGGACATAGGAAAGGCCTTTTAAAATCTCTCCAACAAGATAATGGACACAGGGCAAAATGAGAGCTGACCTAATCAAATTGAATACCCATTGGCTTTTTGACCCTAGGCAAGTCATTTGATCTCTTTGTAGCCTTTAAAGCTAAGACTATAAATTGCAGAGAAGATGCCAATCCATAGTAAAGGAAGCCCATTCATCTGAGAGACTTCACTAAATTAATGGCATTACAAGTCCAGTTCATAGATGCATTTTTCATCCCCACCCGCTCCAACCTAGGTCAAATTCCAGAGCTTCTGTATTTTCCAGATTAATTCTCTCAATATTACTTACTCTGCAGTTTACAATCCGCACTGAGGTAGTCAAGACAAATCTTATCGGAGCCATTATTCGCCATTCCTGAAGGAGTTGCATGAGAAACTCTGTCTTTGAAATCTAAAGAAGAGAAGACACACAAAATGTTGGCTTTCCTGTAGGAAAAAACTCACGCAAGCAGGTCTGGGTTCTTTTGGGGCAAACAGGGGATATAATTGATTATCAAAGCAATCTACCTTTGTTACTTAATTCTACTACCTTTCCTCTGTTATTATTTCACACTTATCTTGTATATATCTTGTTTGTACGTATTTGTTTACATGTTGTCTCCCCCAATAGACTGTAAGCTCCTCAAGGGCAGGGACTGTCTTTTGCCTTTTCTGAATTCTTGGAGCTTAGCAATGTGCCTGATACATTGTAAGCATTTAATAAATGCTTATTAACTGACTCCTAAATTCTCTACTGTTACTGGGCTAACAAATTTGAGACTCCTGGAGATGAACAGTCAGATAATGATTTCAACCTCTATCTCCACTAGCCATGGCTTTGTGGTGATAGGTACCACAAGGCAGTGGCAATGGGTATAGTGCCTAGAAAGCTGGCTTCAAGTCGGGACAATTTAGGTGTCAGTCCAATATCTGACATACAATAGGCATTTAATAAGTACTTCTTGAAGGCTACCCATCCTCCTAATGGAGAAGTGACAGATTCATAATGAAGACAGAGACTTTTTTTTTAAACATATAGTCAATTCAGAAATTTGTTTTGCTTGACTATTTATATTTGTAATGGGATTTTTTTCCTTTGTTTTCTCAGTGAAGGGAGGGAGGGAGAAAGGGAGAAAGGGAGAGGGAGGGGAAAGACAGATCTTTAAAAAAAAATTTCTTTAATTAAAAAATTAATAAATGCTGACTGGCCGGTAAATCCTGACTATGTGCTCCTGGGCAAGTCACTCAGCTTCGCACTATCCTAAGAAACTCCTTAAGATGGGGGTTTGTAAACTTTTTTGCACAATGGACTCTTAACGGCAGTTTGGTGAAGCCTAAAGACCCCAACTCAGAATAATGTCTTTAAATGCATAAAATGAAATACATGAAATTAAAAAGGAAAACAATTATACTGAAATAGTGAAGAGTGTGTGTGTGTGTGTGTGTGTGTGTGTGTGTGTGTGTGTGTATACGTGCTTTTTTTTTTTTGGTGAGGCAACTGGGTTTAAGTGACTTGCCAGGGGTCACACAGCTAGAAAGTGTCAAGTGTCTTGTCTGAGGCTGGATTTGAACTCAGTTCCTCTTGACTCCAGTCTCAGTGCTCTATCCACTGCGCCACCTAGCTGCCCCATACACCCTTATTTTTAATATAAGTTCCTGGACCTCGGGTTAAGAACCCCAGCACAAGCTGTAGCACTTGTCTATAATTCCCTGCTACCAGGAAGGCTGATGAATCACTTGTGCGCAGATCAGGTGTCCATCCACTCTTAGTCTGGCACCAATATGGTAAACCCCAGGGAGATGGGAGCTACCAGCCTGCCTACGGAGCGCAGAAGCAGCCTAGGTCAGAAACAGAACCAGCCAAAGCTTGTGGGCTGAGCAGTAGTGGGATCAGGCCCAGGTGTGGGAACTGTACAACCAATCTGGACAAGATGGGAAGACTACCTCTGAAGGTACTGATCTACACCAAGAGGGTATTTCAGCACCTGAAAGCTCCCTACATAGACAGAATCACAGGTCTGGAACAACAACACAAACAACAACTACAGTAATAACATAAAGATATTCCAGGACAAGACTGTGTACATCTCTCAAACGGTCTTATTCGGAGCAGATGAAGAATAGCCAGTCTGACGTATCTACTTACCCTCCGCATTTGTACTTTTGCAAGGAGCCACAGCTCTGCTTTTGTTTGTGGTCAAGGTGCCAGGAGTTTGACTAGAACCAGAGGTAAAAACAGAATCCGCTTGGCGATCAGATAACCACTGGTCATGAACAACCTTTTTCCTCAGAGAATGTGTGGCTGTCTTGTGGTCTGAGGCTGGCGTAGAGACGGAGGCAGCTTGCATCACTAGGGGATAATGAAATTCTGAGCTCTGATCATAAGCTTTATTTTTGCTTTATCTTAGATAACCACAACTCTTCATTAGTAATAGCTTACATTTATTCAGAGCTTTACAAGTATGTAAATACATCCATGCACAAACATCTAATGTATATTTATCTCCTTTGATCTTCACAACAACCCTGCAAGGTAAGTATAGGAGATATGATTACCCCCATTTCAGAGCTATGGAAACTGAGGCTCCAAATAATGAAATGACAAGTTTAATAAGAGATGGTAGAAACCAATCCCACATCTTCTTATTGAACTATGTTGCTTAGATTCCTGCTTGCTGTCCCCCTAACATATAACTTCAAAGTTGTTCTTTATTTGACATTAGGTCTCAATCCTTTTCTTTCTTCCTCTTTTCATAATGCCATATTTTACTTGCTAAATACAGCCCTAATAATATTTCTATTTCTAACATTTTTTTATTTCCAAGGGATTTTGGAGAGATAGTTCTGCTTTTCTAATTGCATTTCCCCCTCTTTTGTTACACTATAGCCTAAGAAGTGCTGGACTTGGGAGTCAGGAGAGACCTGGGTTCAAATGCTGGCTCTCTTACCTAATACTCTGTGTGACTTAGAGCAAGTCATTGAATCTTCTTAGGCCTTAATTTCCTCATCTGTAAAACTGAGGGGGTTGGAGGAGAAATTCCATAAGGTCCCTTCCAGCTCTAAAATCTATGATTTATGAAAACCTGACTGAAATTTACTATAGCAGGATGACCATAGGCAAGTCACCTAAACTCTCTGAGCCTCAGTTAACAGAATGAGGACAGTAACACCTCGCGTACCTATCTCATAGGGTAATTGTGTGACTCAAAAAAAAACAACACAATAAACAAAGTTTAATCTTTAATAGCTTAAAACCACACTAGGAGTTTTGGGACATCAGGTATACAAAGTGATTTATAAAATATAATGTATAATATGAAGATAATAATAATAATGATAATTCTAATAATAGAAGCATAACGGATCGAGTTAGCCTTGAAGTCAGGTCACTACCTAACACTGTGACGCATCCTGGCAGTGTGAGCCTCAGCAAGTCACTTAAACTCTCAGTTCTCTAGGCAACAATTTAAGATTGTAAAATATAGGAAAGGATCCCAGCATCATTTCTTACTAGACTTGTCACTTCATAGCTCTAAAATGGGAGCAATTATATCTCCCATGCTCCCCTCACAGGGTCTTTGTGAAGTTAAAGGAGAAACTATACATTTATGTGTATATGCCTGTATACATTTATTTGTGTGTGTATGTACTACCACAATGGCAAGAGAGATCCTTCATCAGATGTTCATCACACCAATGAAATACCAAGTTTCATCCCCAAATTATTATTCTTTCTACTATTATTATATTAACATATTAATAATTATTTAATATATTATGTAATATTTTACTTATAATATTATATAATACTCATAATAATACTATTATTTTTCTACTCACTTTAAGTCTCCCAAGCTCCCTGACATTACTGCCAACAACCCCATCAGTGAAAATGACCTGCCTACCACTGCCACACCATAACCTCGGATTCTCGGAATAATGAGTTGGTTTCTGTGTTTCATATTGAGATCTGAAAGTCCAGCATTCACCTTACCTGTTGGTGAAGAAGACTGGGCTAAAATGCTCTTTTGAATTCCACTCTGGGGGACATGACTTGCAGATGATGCTTTTGGTCGTACGTGGGCTGTTGCTGTGTTAGACACGGGAGACGCCTGGATACTCTTGGGCACATAAAAGGGCTCTTCTATTTCATCTCTATTAACTCTTTCCAAGTTCAGAGTCATGGCATCAACTTTAGATGCTGTTGATTCCCACGGCTGCGACTGCTTATTATACGATGTTCCTGATCTCACACTACAACTGTCATTAGCTACTATGTTATTTGCAATTGGGGTTTCTGGTTTGCCTATCAACGTTGCTGTCTTAGTCATTTTGGAATTCGCTGGCATAAACTTGCTGTCTGCACCCTTAGATGAGGATTCCTCTTTCTTTACATTAGTTGTTGGTTTGTATTTTGAAAACACCACAACACTGCTTCCTACGCCCCAACTATCAACAGTTTTATTGGGAGCAGGTGAAGAACAGGCCTTCTGACTTCCACAGTCATCTCCTGCACCTGTATAGTTGTGGGAGGGCGCTAATCCACTTTTGCTCGTGGTTATGGGACTTGGACTGGAGTAGGAGTCAGTTTCACTCCCAAAGAACACATTCACTCTTCTGGAAGCATGGCTACTCACTGCAGGTGTGGTTCTTTTGTCAGCTGAAGCGGGTGGAGAGATGGAGGCAGCACGCTGGATACCATCTTGGCTCCCGTAGTGGCCTTCAACGTGGTCAGTTACCGGAAAGCTCAAGTTTGTTCTAACTTGACTTACGTCTCGGGTACTGGCAGTCTTAGTCGATGCTGATACTGACTGGACACAACCTTGACTCAAAGCAACGCTATTCTTGGTGACTCTACTCTCATTCATTTTGCCTTCGAAGGATGGCAATGGTCCTGGGCCCGTTTTATCCGGTTCTGGAATGTGGGCAGTTCCAACAGAAGCAGAAGGAGTTGGAGATGGAGATAATGCTTGCCTCCCAAAGTAAAGACGATTCCTACTTTGGCTCCTACTTCCTACATTTTTGTGGTTTGACTGGCCTGAAGAAAAGGGGGTGAGGGGTGAGGGAGGGGAGAGGAAGGGCAAAATAAAAAACAGAACACAGAAAATGAGTACAATTAAGATTATAGGAACATAGCTGTATAGCTATAAAGGACTTTAGAGATCATCTAATTCAACTTCTTCACTTTAAAGACAAGGAAACTGAGACCCAAAGTGGGTAAGTGCCTTGCCCAAGGTTGTAGAATTAGGAACTGGCACAACCAGGATATGAACCAAGGTCCTCTGACCCCAGTCAGAGCTCTTTCCACTATATCAAACTCCTGTCCAAATTCTGACCTTTTACTTTCTTGGGGATGTCACATAACTCAAATCCTGTCAAAATTACAGCACCAATGTGACAAACAAAAAGAGATCAAGTGGATCCCCATCATCCCATCTTCAAACAGCATTAGGCAGAGAGGAAAAAGCCGTTAAAGGAGAAGAGAGAAAAGCAGTATGGCATAGTGGACAAAGAGTTAGCCCAAGAAAACCTGGGTTCAATACCCTCTCAATACATATTAGCTCTGTGACCATAGGCAAGTCACTTAATCTTGAAATGCCCTTAAGACTATAAGTTATAGATAAGCTGTTGATCTATGTCACTAGAAGGAATTGCCATATCGGGAGTTCTCTACATCAATGAAATCATAGGTCCAGATCCAAAAAAAGAGAGAGAGAGAAGAGAAGAAGGAAGAAGCAGACAGAGAGAGAATGGTCAATTGGGCAACGTCCTGAAAGATACTTATGGGGGAATAGATCAGAGACACAAGTGAAGGAGTTCATTTTGACCTACTCGACCCTCTGAGATAGAATGGAAGGAGGAAAGGATGGGAGAAGACACAAAGAAATCTTAAGATGTGAAAGAGAGTAGGTGACGTTCACATGGGATGGCCCCAACTCTTCAGAAAAGGAAGAAGTGAAGCCAGAGTGACAAGGCTATAAGGGAAAATGGAGGTTTGAAGAGGGAAAGAGATTTTACAACAACTACTATGGGAAATGGGATAAGGAATCAATAAAAGAAGAAAATAAAGACTTCTGGACAACAGCAGTGTCAAACTCAAAAGATCCCTGTAGGCCGAATATTAGCATATAAAACCACAAATTAATATGATCTACATTGTAATGTATCTTCTTTATTTTGTTGAACATTTCCCAATGACATTTTAACCTGGTTCAGGAATGACTGGGCTTTGAATCTGGTATCTCCACTATATAACACTGAGAGCCCAGTTGAGGCTTTAGGGCTAGGGCTCCCAGGAAAAGGGAGATAAGGAATAAGGATTAACATTTAGGGAATAAGAGGTAAGGATGGAAGAAAAAGGAGTTTAGAGAAAATCATGGGGATGGAGGGGAAGAATGGTGCCGATTATAGGGATCTGAAGAAGCACCTGGGGGGATGAGGAGCAAGAGCAGACAGAAACCTTACAACAATGAGCTGAGTGGGTGGGAACCTGGTAGAAATACTGAATGCTGAATAGCTGGCGAGATTTTCCTTCTCCTGCTCTTCCCTTGCAAGGTACTAGGGATGAGAGAAATGGTAGATCTTGGAGGCGGGGAACAGTACGGAAGGGGAAGAAGAAGATACAGGGAGGAACATCCCTGCTTTCTTCCTCCTTGTCCTGGTCTCCAATTTGTTCTGGAGCGAGAAAGGAAGAAAGAATGAAGGAGAAATGCAATGGAAGGAGCTTCAGAGTATGAGAGATAAAGGGATACAAAAGAAACAACTCTGAACTTCACCAAAGGACACCTGGGTTTGCACTGCTGCTCTAATACTACCAGCTTCATAATCTCAAGCTAGCCAATTAACCTCCTGAATTTCCCTCATCTGTAAAAAGAGGATACTAACCCATCAATCAATCACTAGTCAACAAGCATTTATTAAACATCTACTATGTACAAGGTGTGGCGTTACTAATATAACGAATGAAACAGTCTCTAAACTCCAGGAATTGACATTCTAACAGGAGAGACAAGAAGTATTTTAGATATATATAGAGATATATATGTGTATATACATAGATATATACATACATATATGCACACACATATATATGTACACAACCACATATGTACACCCACCCATATATGTATATATATTATACACACACACACACACACATAAACACACACATTCTAACAGGAGAGACAAAAAGTATAATATATATATGTATACACACACACATATATATACATACACACATATGTGTATATATGTACACACCCATATATATGTACACATGCCCATATATTTTATATATATACACACACGCACACATTCTAACAGGAAAGACAAAAAGTATAATATATATGTACAAACACACACACACACACACACACACACACACACATATATATGTACACACATACATACACACAGAGTCAGTTCTGTTATACAGTGACTTGTGTTTCCAAAAAACACATCACGCAAAACTGAGCTATAAAAACCACAGGGCTTGTGGGGAAATTGGGGTTCTTCCGTCTTGCCTAACCCTTTTTGGCAAAGATACTAGAGTGGTTTGCCATTTCCTTCGCCAGTTCATTTTACAAATGAAGATACTGAGACAAACAGGGTTAAGTGATTGGGCCAGGGTCATACAATTTGTAAGTGTCTGCGGACATATTTGAACTCAGGAAGATGAGTCTCCCAGACTCCACACGTATGAGAGAATATATTCCAGGGATGTAGAACAGCTAAGGCAAAGGCACACAGAGAGGAGAGGAGAGTGCAATATCTGAGGAAGGGAAAGAAGGTTGGTTTGGCTGGATCAAAGACTGCAGAAGAATGAGTAATGTAAACAAGGGGCTGGAAAGACAAGTTGGGGGGGGCGGAGCCAAGATGGCGGAGGGAAACCAGGGACTGTCTTGAGCTCTCTCCCAAAGCCCTCCAAATAACTAAATAAAATGGCTCTAAACAAATTCTAAAGCAGCAGAACCCACAAAAAGAGAGAGTGAAACAAATTTCCAGCCAAAGACAACCTGGATGGTTGACTGGAAAGGTATATCGCGCCGGGCAGGGAGAGGAGCGCAGCTCGGCAGTGACCCTGAAGCAGGCCTCAGAGGACTGAATCGCGGGCAGCTGTGGTGGTTTCCAGACTTCTCAATCCACGAATGCCAAAGACAACTTAGAAAGTCAGTGGGAAAAGTCTGTGACTGCGGTGAGAGAGGAGCTAGGTCTCAGCTCCAAGTCTCGTGGCCTGAGGCTGCAGCTTTTTCCTGAGCTTCTGGCCCACAGACTGAGGGGGAATCAAGTGGCAGATCAGAACGGGATTGCAGGGATCTCTTTGCCAGTGCTGAGGCAGGAATCTCTTGCTTTACCGGTGCTTGGGTCTGGGTCACAGTTCTGAGGGGTGGTCCTGGGGCTAAGAGGAATGCTGGTGTAGTGAAGCTTGTTGTGGCTGTGGAGAGGAAATACCTCGCCCCTTACCATGCCACCTTGGAAGAACTGAAAATTTACAGTTCCCTAGAAGTACCTCTGAAAACAGCTATACAAACCCCCGAAGCTTGAGACAGTACATTCTTCACATTGGAAGCAGACTTTTACCTTAACAAAGAGTTTAAAACTCAAGTAATTGGCCAGCATCATGAGTAAGCAGCGCAAAAAGAGTCAGACTATATTATCTTACTTTGGTGACAAAGAAGATCAAAACGTACAACCAGAAGAAGACAACAAAGCCAAAGCTCCTACATCCAAAACCTCCAAGAAAAATATGAATCAGTCCCAGGCCTTGGAAGAGCTCAAAAGGGATTTTGAGAAGCAAGTAAGAGAAGCAGAGGAAAAACTGAGAGTGATGCAAGAAAATCATGAAAAACAAGTCAACAGCTTGCTAAAGGAGACCCAAAAAAATACTGAAGAAAATAACACCTTAAAAAATAGCCTAACCCAAATGGCAAAAGAGGTCCAAAAAGCCAATGAGGAGAAGAATGCCCTAAAGAGCAAAATTGGCCAAATGGAAAAGGAAGTCCAAAAGATTACTGAAGAAAATACTTTCTTAAAAATTAGAATAGAGCAATTGGAAGCTAGTGACTTTTATGAGAAATCAAGACACTGTAAAACAAATCCAAAAGAATGAAAAATTAGAAAACAATGTGAAATATCTCACTGGAAAAACAACTGACCTGGAAAATAGATCCAGGAGAGAGAATTTAAAAATTATTGGACTATCTGAAAGCCATGATCAAAAAAAGAGCCTAGACATCATCTTTCAAGAAATGACCAAGGAAAACTGTCCTGATATTTTACAACCAGAGGGCAAAACAGAAATTGAAAGAATCCACCGATCTCCTCCTCAAAGAGATCTCCAGAGGAAAACTCCTAGGAATATTGTAGCCAAATTCCAGAGTTTCCAGGTCAAGGAGAAAATATTACAAGCAGCCAGAAAGAAACAATTCAAGTATTGTGGAAACACAATTAGGATAACACAAGATTTAGCTGCTTCTACATTAAGGGACCGCAGGGCATAGAATATAATATTCCAGAGGACAAAGGAGATAGGATTACAACCAAGAATCACCTACCCAGCAAAACTGAGTATAATCCTGCAGGGGAAAAAATGGTCATTCAGTGAAATAGAGGACTTTCAAGCATTCTTGATGAAAAGACCAGAGTTGAAAGAAAATTTGATTTTCAAATACAAGACTCCAGTGGAACATGAAGAGGTAAATAGGAAAGAGAAAATCGTCAGAGACATTAAAGTTGAACTGTTTACATTCCTGCATGGAAAGATGATATTTGTAACTCATGAGAACTTGGTCAGTATTAGGGTAGTTGGTGGGGAAAAAAATTGTATGTACATATATATAGATACAGATAGAGGGCACAGGGAGAGTTGAAAATGAAGGGGTCATTTCTGGAGAATAAAATTAAGGGGAGAGAGAGGAATATACTAGGAGAACGAGAAAGACAGAGGTAGAATGGGGTAAATTATCCCACCAAAAAAAAAAAAACAAAAACCAGAAAAGAAAAGGCTCTTACAGTGGAGGGGAAACGGGGGAAGGTGAGAGGGAATGAGTGACTCTTATTCTCACAGAATTTGACTTAAGGAGGGAATAACATACACACTCAATTGGGTGTGGAAATCTGTCTTACCCTACAGGAAAATAGGGGGGGAAGGGGATAAGAGAGTAGGGGAATGATAGAGAAGAGGGCAGATTGGGAAAGGGAGTAATCAGAAGCAAATACTTCTGAGGAGGGACAGGGTCAAAAGAAAGAATAGAATAAATGGGTGGGCAGGATAGGATTAAGGGAAATAGAGTTAGTTTTTCACAGCAGGTCTACTATGGAAGTGTTTCGCATAACTGCACATATATAACCTGTATTTAGTTGCTTACCTTATCAATGAGGATGGGTGAGGAGGGAGGAAGGGAGAAGATTTGGAACCCAAAGTTTTAAACACACATGTTTAAAAAAAATGTTTTCACATGCAACTGAGAAATAAGAAATACAGGAAATGGGGCACAGAAATCCATTCTGCCCTACAGGAAAATTGAAGGGGAAGGGGATAAGAGAAGAGGGGGAGAGATAGAAGGGAAGGCAGACTAGGGGATGGGGTATTTAGAATGCATGCCATCTTGGGATGGAGGGAGGGGCGGGATGGGGTGAAAATTTGGAACTTAAAATCTTATGGAAGTAAATGTTGAAAACATAAAAAAAAATTAAAATTACCATTAAAAAAAAAAACTTCACAAACCCTAATGCCAAATATGCCATTGACATGTACTTCCTGTGTATTTGACTGGTGTTCCACGTAACATTCAAGGGATTACTTTAGCAGTAGCAGCTCACACCTTCTTGTTTCCTGTTTTCTACAAGCCAACAGAAAAGTAGGTTGCCACTTAATCATAAATTAATTGACTAGCAAGGGAGTGTAGCCTATAATTTGGCTACCAAGTAGTGATACAACTTAAACGTCAAGTAAGTGGTATCATCAGAGTGTAGGTACTCTGGCTTTCCCATGGGCTACATGCAGATTTCTACTTCTCTTCAAACTATGTTTTCCTATAATGTCTCTACACTCCTACCTTCCACCCATATCAATCTCTTTCAGCTCCTGACCTAATTGTGTAAGCTCTGCTTCAATATTGACCTAAGGGTATAGAAATGAAAATTGATTATTGCTGTTAACTACTGAAATTGTTTTGACTCTTGCCTCCTCTCCATATATGTGAGATATCTTTCTTCTTAAATTTATTTTATTTTCAATTCATGGAATAAAACAAGCATTTCCATAATACAGTACAATAAAAAAGATGATTGCTCCTGGCTAAAAAAAAAAAAGACAAGTTGGACCAAGTTGTGAAAGGCTTGAAAAACTAAACAGAGAAGCTGAGGCAATAAGGAGCCACTTGGAGTTTACTGAGTAAGGGAGTGACATGGATAGAATTGTACTGAAAGAAAATCACTTTGGCATCTGTGTGGAAGATAGGCTATTGTGGGGAGAGAGCTGAAGCAGACAAGGGGAGAGAAAAGTCAACACCTTGATGTCAAATGCACCAGAGAACTCAAGAAGAATGAAGACTGAGGAAATGTGGTGATGGTGATGATTGTATATGAGACAGATAAGCTAAGGTCCACCTGTACTGGACTGGGAGTGTTTATTTCAATTCAACAAACATTTACTAAGTGCTTACCATATGACAAACGTTGTAATAAGCACTAGGCATGCAAAGACAAAAATGAAGGAGTCCCTTCCCTCTAGAAATTTCTATCCTTGGGAAGGAAGGGAAGGTGATAGAGGAAGAGATATAGCAGGAGGAGATACAGGAGATATATAGGAGGAGATATAGGGTTATAATTTGGAGCTGGAAGGGATCTTATAGACTAGCTAGTCCAACTTCCTCATTTTACAGATGAGATGACTGAGGCCCAGGAAACTTGAGTGACTGGCCCAAGGTCACATTGTTAAGTGTCAGAGATGGGATGTAAACCCAAACTCTCTGACTCGGTGATTTTTTCTACCGTAACATGACAGATGCAAATAACTATAAAACACAACAGGGAATAACAGAAGCAAAGGAGTAATTGCGCAGAGTACTCTAAGAGTATCAGAGAGCACTTTCATCTGGGGAGATGAAGCAAGGAAAGAAGGAAGCTGAGAGGCAGAAATGAGATAGGAGTGCATTTCATGGGCCATGTAAATGTACCAAGGCAGATGTGGATATGTTAAAGTTGGGTAAGACATAGCAGCAGAGTTTGGCTGATGAAAGAGTAAATATCAATATGCCCCTTCATTAGCCCTTGTCCTAATTATTAATTAAATTCACCTCTTCTGGAAATATGCTTATTACTCCTGGAATGCTTCTGATTACAGATGTCCTGGATATTTCTAACTACTGACTCGGTGAGGCCCTCTTCTTTGAGAAATTCCAAGTTCTTTGTATCCATCAAGTTGTGCGACCGATTGCAGTGGACAAAGCCGCATTTCCCTTCAAGAAAGTGTTCACAGATGTGCAGTTTCATGCATTCTGTCTTCTTAGAGCAAGAGTCTTGCCTGTTTTCTCCCTTGTAGTATTTACATATCTGGGGAAGAGAGGAAGGATATCAATGATGAAAATGAGTAACCAGACAGAAGACAATTCAGCAATTCAAGCAGCAGCCATCTTACCTTTAGGAAGCAAAGTATGAACACACAAAGATGCCTACAATGGGTAAAGTGAAGCAATGAAGACAAAGTTAAAAGCACATTCTATATTCTTGGTCAGTCTATTGAATTAATGCTATTTACAGAGATCCAAAGGCTGACCAGGAGATACTGACAAACAATGATCTTCAGGAGGAATCAATCAATCAATCAATCAATCAACACTAACTAAGCACCCATTATATAAAAGGTACTGTGCTAAGCTCTGGGGATACAAAAAGAAGCAAAAGAGAAGCTTATAATCTAATGCAAATATATACAATATTACACACAAATATACACAATATTACAAATATATATAAACAATACCCACAAAAATATACAATATACAAATATATACAAACAAATATATGCAAAGCAACTTATATAGGAAAACTAGGAATTAAAAGAGGGAAGGCACTGGAATTAAGAGGGGCTGTGGAAGACTTTCTATAGAAGGTGGGATTTTAGTTGGGACTTGAAGACAGGTCAGCAGTTGGGGTTGAGAAGAGAGGACATTCCAGGTATGGGGGATAGCCAGAGAGAATACCCAGAGCCAAGAGACGGAGGGTCTTGTTCATGAAACAGCCAGGAGGCCAGTGTCGCTGGATCAAAGAGTACATTATCAGAAGTAAGGTTTAAGAAGACTGGAATGGTAGGAGATGGCTAGGTGATAAAGGACTTTGAACGTCAAACAAAGCATTCTGTATTTGTTCCTACAGGCAATAGAAAGCCATGGTGGGGGTGGTATAGGGGGGTTACATCAGATCTGTGCTTTAGGAAAATCACTTTAGTGGCTGGAAGACAGATTGGAGGGAGAAGAGTCTCGAGGCATGCAGACCCACCAGCAGGATATTGCAATAGTCCAGGCATGAGATGATGAGGGCCTGCATTAGAGTGGTGGCAGTGTCAGAGGAGAGAAGGGAGCACATTTATGAGATGCTGCAAAGGTGAAATCGACAGGCCTTAGCAACAGCTTGGACGTGAGGGATGACAGATAGTGAGGAATCCATGATGACTTCTAGGTTGTGAGTCTGAGGGATTGGGAGGGTGGTGTTGCCCTAGACCAGGGGTGGGGAGCCTGAGGCCCCGAGGCCACATGTGACCCTCTAGGTCCTCAAGTACAGCCCTCTGACCCAATCCAAACTTCACAGAACAAATCTCAAGGCTGCAGGTTCCCCACCCCTGCCCTAAGACAGTAATAAGGAAGGTAGGAGCAGGGGAGGGTTTTGTTTTGGACATATTGAGTTTAAAATGGTCATTGGCCATCCAATTCAAGATGTCTGAAAGGCAGCTGGAGATGTGAGATTAGAGGTCTGCAAAGAGATCCAGGCAGGAAAGACAGATATAAGAATTAGCAGTATAGAGATAGCAATTAAATCCACAAGGTCTGATACTGTGATCACCAAGTTTAGTAATATAGAAGAAGAAAAGAGGGCCCAGGGCAAAACTGAGAGACACCTAAGGTTATAGGGTGTGTCCTAGAAGAGGATCCAGCAAAGGAGACAGAGGACAGATCAGATAGGTAGGAGGAGAACCAAGAAGAGAGAGGGGTGTCCTGAAAACCTAGAGAGAAGAGAGTCTCAAGGGGGATAGAAAGGTGAGTAGTGTCATAGGCTGTAGAGAGGTCAAGGTGAATGCAGACTGAGAAAAGTCCACTGGATCTGGTAACTAAAAGATCATTAGTAATTTTGGAGAGAGCAGTTTCAACGGAATGATACGGTCGGAAGCCAGGTTGTAAAGGGTTTAGAAGAGAGTGAGAGGAGACCTAAGGCAGATGGCTTTTTCTAGGAGTTTAGTTACAAAGGGCAGAAGAGATATATGAGATAGTTAGCAGGAATGGAAGGGTCAAGTGAGGGTTTTTTCAGGATAGGGGAGACACGGACATGTTTGTGGGCAGCAGGGAAGGAGCCAGTAGAGAAGGAAAGACTGAAAATAAGTGAAAGAGTAAGGATAACAGAAGGGGCAATCGGTTGGAGGAGATGGGATGGACAGGATCACTTGAACAAGTAGAGGGATTAGCCTTGGTAAAGAGTAAGGCCACATCATCATGTGAGACAGGGGTGAAGAAAGAGATAGTGGCAGAAGGCATTAGTGATAGGAGGTGTGCATAAGGGGAGAAGAAAAAATTCATGAAAAAAAAAAGAATTCATGGCAAATGGCTTCCATTTTTTCTTTAAAATATGAGGCAAAGTTCTCAGCTAAGAAACTGGGGGAAGGGGAAACATGAGAGGTTTGAAGAGGGGAGAAAAAAATTGGAAGAAATGCTGTGAAGAGCGGGACAGTGAGTTGATAAGGGAGGCATGGTTTAATTATAAAATAGCATCGAGGGCTCAATTAAGGTTATGTAACATAAATTTGCCATAGACCTAGTCACAGCAATTGCAGGATTTTCTCCACCTTCATTCAGTAGCATGTGTGTAAGCAAGAAGGCAGTGAATGGTTGGAGCAGTCCAAGGCTAAGGCTTGGTTGGGTATAACTCGCAATATAATACGGGGGCTAGGAATTCAAGAGAGAAGAACAGTGTAGAGTTAAATTAGTTCACCAGGAAGTAAGGAGAGATAGAAGAGGAGAGAGTGGCTAGTGCAGGGGAGATGGTCTGGGAAGGAATTGAGGGGTCAAAGGATGGGAGGTCATGGTGCAGATGAAGAGTAGGGTTATGTAAAGGAAAGCAGAGGGAGAGGTGAAAAGCCAATAGAGTATGGTCAGGTAAGGAGTAAACAATCTTTTAAAGGGTAGACAACACCGATATTAATAAGTGTAAAGGCAGTGTGGTGTAGTGGAAAGAGTACTAGACTTGGAGTTGGACAGATCTGAGTTTGAATCTTGACTCTGACACTTACTTGTTGTGTCCTTTGAAGCAATTTATTTCTGAGCCTCAGAGACTTCAAATTGTAACACAGGTAATGATATTATGTACTGCTATCCTCACAGGGTACTGGGAGGAAAGCATTTAGTAAGCTTTAAAGTGTTATAAAAATCAATGGGCATTTATTAAGTGCCTACTAAGTGCCAGATGCTATGCTAGCACTTGGGAGACAAAGACAAAAATGAACATAGTCCTTGGCCTCACAAAGCTTACAGTCCAGCCAGCACAGACAACAAGTAAGCTGGCATTTATATCCATCACCTTTCTTGATCCCATCACCACCCAGGTGAGGTATTACTAGTCTCATTTTACAGGTAAAAGAAAATAAGGCAGCAGAAAGATAGTGTGACTTATCCAAAGTCACCCCTAACGAGATAGGGAACCGCAAAGTCAGGTCATCTGTTTCTTAATCCAATGCTCTTTCTTTTACATAAGAGCATCCACTTTCCTGGAGGGGCCAAGTCTTGAAGCACCGAGTAAGACAACAACCAAATTATCAACGAAATCACTCCCAGAGAAGAGAAGACTTCTGGGATCTTTGAAAAGATGAGCAACCTTAGAATAAGAGGTATTTCCCATCCATACGTACACTTAGGCAAAGTTCCCAACCAACCTTAGTATGTGGGCAGAGGTGTGGCTTAGGATACCCTTGGCACCTAAGTGAGTAAAATGGATGGTCATGAGGAGAGGAGCCAAGAATATTTTATCACAAGCCCCATCCTACTTACTCAACCACAAACACTGCTAATGCATACCTCTTTCCACTACCCTGGTTATTATACACTCAAATTTTTGCCATCTGTCCCTTTGGGCACATGTGTCAGAGGCTGACAGGAACATGTAGGTTCTAATAGGAGGAAATAAGCATGAATTAAAAATCCAGGCTCTCTTGATGATCTTGTTAGCATCTTGTCATGAAATGGGCTTAAAATGCTTACTACCTTAGAAAGAACTCTGAGCAGGGCAAGGATCAACCATAGTGTCCAAGGACCAATGCAGAAGGCCTGTTACCCACCTCTGGACAGAGAGGGCATGGCCTGAGGGAGGAGGAGAAGAAGGCACATACTTTTTGTACATAGCCACTTTTGAAAATTTTATTTTGCTTGACTACATATATGTTACAAGGGTTTGGTTTTCCCCAATCATTGTGGTTGTTCATCCTTTATTTATGAAGAGGACTAATGACATCATGGGGTGATGTCTTGACTCGCACATGAACTGGATGTGAGGGAAGCAGTGTTGCAAAAAGTCATCAGCCTCACTCTCTCTTCTACAGTCCCTGAAGGCCAGTGGCAAGAAAAAAGCCAAATTTCCCCAATGAGGGGGTAAGGGTAGAAGGGAGAGAAAATAGATTTTTGTTCACTGAAAATTTTTTTAACTTAAAAATAAAATGCTTTGCAGACTATAAAAAAATGCTCACTGAACTATAACCCAGTTTATGACTATGGCCTCCAAAGTCTTCAATCATTCCCACTCACTCTTGTTCTTCAAGTTGGCCATCATTGATTCTCCTGTTAATTTTCTTTTTTGTTTTATTTTTTTACAATTGGGGTTAAGTGATTTGCCCAAGGTCACATAAACTAGTAAGTATTTGAGGACAGATTTGAACTCAGGTTCTCCTGATTCCAGGGCGGGTGCTCTATCCACTATTCCACCTAGCTGCCCCTCCTGTTAATTTTCCTTAGCCGCTTTGTTCACCATCTTTGTCACTCATTCCCTCCTGACCTACCTTCGTAAGTCTCTGCCAGTGTCCTTTCCTATGGGAAGCTTTTAAAATCCACAATCTTTCCTTTTACAAGTTTTTCCACATAAAAAGCCAGGGTAAGGGTGGCCTCTTCTAGGAAGCTTTCCTTGATTACAACTGAGGGAAATCATTCCCATTATATCCTCAAAGTGCTATGGACTCCTTAACAGGCTTGGGGTATGGAGGGGTTGGGACTCCTATGAACAACAGAGTCTTAGAGAATGCTGGAAACTCCTCATTCTCCAAACCACTCATCAGCCCTGACTTCTCCAAAGGAACTAAATCAAAGCCAGGGGTCCTTGACTATAGTGTCTCCTATAACTATAAACCTCCAGAACCTATGAGATGAGTCTTATTTTTTGAGGGGTGCTTTTACTTTTTTTTGTTACTTTTACTTCACATTTACCTTTTTTGGGGAGGGAGGGGGCTAGGCAATGGGGTTAAGTGACTTGCCCAGGGTCACACAGCTAATGTCAAGTATCAAGATTTGAACTCAGGTCCTCCTGATTCCAGGGCCAGTGTTCCCTCCACCACGTCACCTAGCTGCCCCCCATTTACATTTACTTTTGTCCCTCCTGAACAATGCCTTCCTTGAAACAACCCGTGGCATTTTTATGAAGTAATGTCTGCTCAGACTTGATGTTGAGGAACTGTGACTTACATCAGGAAGGAAAAAGGGGTCACTCTGGAGAAGGAGAACGGCCAACTCATTTTTGGTGAGTCCAGAGAGATCATGCTTTTTCAGGATTTTGATGTTCTTTTCTGAATGAATTTCATGGGAGTATTTACAATAATTTCTGAAAAGAAAAAAAAAGAATAATCATCTTAGTAGTAGTAGTAGTAGTAGTAGTAGTAGTAGTAGTAGTAGTAGTA